AAGTTATTAACCGCTTTCTGGCCTACAGACGTCATCACATAGATCATAAATAAATAAATACTTCATATATATAAAATGAATTCGGAAGATATAATTACAGCAAGCCAGAAGTTAGCTCTGTAACCTTTCCATTGTTTTGAAAACTGCACTTTGCTTGAAAACGCGTATTTGCTTAATAACAAAATATCTGAAGCAATTCCGCTGCAACCATGACGTCACGTCGAGTTTATCCACGAACTTTTGATTCTGTCTGTGAGACAAACAGATTAAACCAGAGCAGTAGAACTGAATGTGGTAAATGAATAAAACTGGTCAATGTAAATCGGAGCAGACTGGCAGAACTGCTCAAACGTAAACTACGAGTTTGGTTTGAGAACAGTGACTACAAACTTGTTTGCCTCGTAATCATGTTTATTGTTACATGAAGAGTACAAGAGACAGAGTGCGAAGAACAACAGCTCACATACAGAACGTACAGAACGAAACAAATAGAAGTGCCTTGGCAAATATTTGGATGTGCTTCCATTAGCAGCAGTGACAATATTCCCGTCTTCAGGAAATACATAATGTGGATGCAAACTGGATTTAGGTGGCCTAGGAGAGACTAATTACGCGACTGTATAACGAAGGTAATGAACAGAACGAAAAACTAACTTCTCCTGGCTGTGATGTTTTACTATCAACAACACTGACGACATGCCTGACTGTCGCATCACCACAATTCAGAAATTCAGAAGTGTCATTTGACATTTTGCACATATTTATCTGACTCAGTGTGTACGATTAGCATATACATCATATGAAAGTAGTACCTACTTATTATTTCTAAATTAATTTTATTAAACGCATTTTAATGCTATATACAAAAGCCATCCATTGAGTCACGCAGTTAAAACCTTCAAATAACTTCTATATATCCCATAACACTCTTTGTTACGAATATATCAACTAAAGACATTCTGCGGTCTAATTAAGGTTTTCATTAATTACTACACTCTGATAATGACACTGTGTATGCACTCTCTGTAGTCTGGGATATCAAATACTCGAATCTACGGACAGAAGAGCCGCCTACCTATTACAGGTTCATTTCGTGTCATTATTATTATTATTTATTATTGACTGCAAATGGGTTTATACCCGGTGGCAGTGTCCTACAATAACATACAAAACAATGAGACATAACAGAACAATGAGATACATCAACACACAGAGACAGAACAAAACAATAAACAAAAGGACACAACAAAAACAATATGACACCCAAACAATGGGATACATCAACACAATGAGACACAACAAAACAATAAACAAAGGACACAACAAAAACAATAAGACACAATAAACAATGAGATACATCAACACAGAGACAGAACAAAACAATAAACAAAAGGACACAACAAAAACAATATGACACCCAAACAATGGGATACATCAACACAATGAGACACAACAAAACAATAAACAAAGGACACAACAAAAACAATAAGACACAATAAACAATGAGATACATCAACACAGAGACAGAACAAAACAATAAACAAAAGGACACAACAAAAACAATATGACACACAAACAATGGGATACATCAACACAATGAGACACAACAAAACAATAAACAAAGGACACAACAAAAACCATAAGACACAACATACAATGAGATACATCAACACAGAGACAGAACAAAACAATAAAAAAGGACACAACAAAAACAACACATCCCACTCAAAATCAACCAACTCATAAATTACAAAACCATCCAACCTCAAGTACTTAACTTAAAAAAAAGAACTTAATACCACCTAGACATAAGACAATAACTGTAATGTATTACAAACGTCATGAACTGATGCACTCACACAACAATACAATGAGACACAACAATACAACATACCACACTCAAAATAAAACATCTGACACACAATAAAAAAACACACATCCACTAATTAATCACAATACTTAAGAGTGGAATATAAAGTCCGCTCTCAGTACATGAAAATTTTATCCCAAAGAACTACAGCCCTTCATCACTTGGAGACTAAGACACTTCACTTCACTTATCACCATTTATTCCCAACTTAATAACCCTTAGCTTGTAACTACTTTTCTGACCCTCTTTCTAAAGGTGCCTAATTTACAGGGGAAAGACTCTAGCACGCCTGGAGGTAATTGGTTCCAGCTTCTTATGGTCCTATTTACAAAGGAATATTTGCCTACATCCGTTCTTTGTTTCCTAGTCCTAATTTTCCGAGTATGATCGTCCCTGCCCAGGTAGCATGGCTTTAATAATCTATCCTCTATCATTTTCCAAGCCCGGCCCCCCGTGTATGCTTTGAAAAGGGCGCACATTCGGGCTATCAATCTACGCTGTGCCAATGTTTCCCAACCAGATTCGTTCGTGAAATTAGCAAATTTAGCCGCTCTCTTCTGCACCCGATTTAGTGCTCTTACCTGTCCTTCCCTGTAAGGGTCCCAACACACAGCTCCATATTCAAGTATCGGTCTCACTAGCGACGTATAAGCTAAACGTTTCGTATTGTTATTTCCCTTTTTTAGTATACGCATTACGAAATGGAGAGCCTTCCATGCTTTAATTAGTGTATAATTCACATGATCTGCCCAGCTCAGATCACTGCGAATAAGTATTCCTAAGTACTTAAAGCTATTTGCCTCTGGAATTAATTGATCCCCAAAAAAGTAACTCAGCTTATCCTTCACCCTAGCTCTATTGAAGCTGACTGCTTTACTTTTACCTGGATTTATCTTCATTTCATTTTCTACCGCCCATTCCCATAATCTATTCATATCTGTCTGTAACTTATCAATGTCACTACTATCCATTATTTTCCTGTATACTATACAATCATCAGCGAAAAGCCGTATATTTGAATCAATGTTTTTCCAAATATCATTAACATAAGCTAGGAATAGCAAGGGACCTAATACGCTCCCTTGCGGCACTCCTGACGTTACCCTGACTTCATGAGATAGCTGTCCTTCCACTCTTACTCTTTGCGAACGTCCTAAGAGAAATTCCTTTACCCATAACACTACTCTCAAGTCCACACCGGTTGCAGCAATTTTTGTAATCAGCCTATCGTGTGGGACTAAATCGAATGCCTTTGAGAAATCTATTATAACCGCATCAGTCCTGATTCCCTCGTCCAATGAATCAGCAACATCTTGACAAACCGTGACTACTTGACTTTCGCATGAGTACCCTGGTCTAAACCCATGTTGACCCTCATATAACCACTCACTCCTTTCCCAGACTTGCCTTAGATACCCTGCTATAACGTGCTCCATTTGCTTGCAAACCACCGAGGTTAAACTGACCGGTCTGTAGTTCCCAACTACCGATCGATCTCCCCCTTTATAAATAGGGACCATGAGTGCAAATAATACTTAAAATGTTACAAATTTTATCGCACTAAACAAATATTAATGTAAGCGATATGCTTATTTTATCCAGAGTGGCATCTGATGGTAAACCTGTAATCGAATATAATACCTTTGAGATGGAAATGCCACGAGTAGACTTATATACAGACAGCACTGCCAAAGTTTTCACTCGTGAATTGCGTTGTGGACTGATTGAAAACCAAAACGTCATTATAGACAGCCGTCATTCGCGTTTGATTGGTTCATTATTGGCTGAACAGAAGGAGTATGAGTGAAGGGCAGAATGGTCTTCCAACCTTCCAATTTATACAATATACTTATTTGAAGACATTTCATTTTATGCAGACCACACAGTACAAATTTGCTAATGCAAGTAATATGTTGAAGATGCATGTCTTCTGGGTTGTAACGCCGTGTAGTTCGGTAGAGGTTTACCAACCTTTCAGATGGAGGCAGCGAGAACCTCTGAAGCGTCGGTTAACTTCTACCAGACTAGACAGCGCAACAATCCAGAAGATAACCAATTTCTGTGACAGTTAAAAGGTTAAAATACAAACATTTTCAAAATGAAAATGATTAGAAAGTTAAGTATTATTGAATAATACAACAACATTTCATCGAAGGAAACTTTATGGTTAACATCACAGCCTTTAGATTATAATATCTGACGTTTAAACATATTTCGTGTTAGGCAGTTGGGAACAGTCATTATTAAAGACCGCCATCCTTCTAGGCACGTTCTTGGGGACAGAATAATTTGTTCTCTATCTTTAACACGTTCCTTTGTTAACACCGTAACACACTTACAGACACGAAAAACAAAAGAAACCCAAAGCTCTGCCACGACGGACAACAAAGGCGTCTCAGAACAACCAAAAGAGCGAAAAGGCAGCGGGAATTAATATTCAGAAGTTGTTAAAATGTATAATCGGATAGAACCACTTCAGGATTAATGTTTGAAATATGGCGAGAGAGATATAACGACATTAAGCATGTAAAATAAGCTACAACCCTTTGCAATATTCGCTGTATTACTGTGTGTCTCCTTTCCGATTCCGGTATCATGTGAACAGAATATCCACCCATGCGCTTCAACTATACATAATCATTCATTTGACAGAACAAATATATAAGTTAATTACAAGTTATTAAAGGAATAAACAAATATGAAGTTAAAAATTAGTCAATAAATATTCCACAATTCTGGCATAAATTTCTACTAGTAAGAGCATTAATTTCAGTTGATAAGTTTTCTTATTATCGTATAGCGTCGGCGTGGTGAAATTAAACATGTTTCAGAGGAATTTGCTTCCTTCTGTTTCGAGAAAGGATTCATTACCTTACGAAACGTCGATTTTCTTTGTAAATGGACACTGTGTAAGCACTAATTATCTCCATATCCTTAAATCTCACAATTTCACTCACCCAGAAGTAGGAAGCCACAAATATGAACTGTAAAGTTAACAGTTATCTTCGTTCTCTGTCATTGAATCTAACTTTGTGCCAAATATTTGTTTACAAATAATTATTAAAATTTCCGTTCATCTTTCAGAGTAAAAAATAAACTTGTCACTGACGTGACTGTTCTTTGCCAATAGCAGTTCGTGTGGAACGACTTCTCGGAGGAGTACCTTCCGACGGACCAGAAGCATACGTATTACCCTTCCGTGATCATCAACGATCATCTGTATGAGCTCAAGATCTCCGACATCCCCGTGATCCCCTACTTCCCGGTCAACTCCTACTACGAATGGACTGACTATCGCTTCTACGGGCTTCGCAGCGCTACTGCCTACGTCTTGGTGTTCGACCTGTCCAACGCGGACACATTCCAGTACATCCGGACGCTGAGAGACCAAATGTTAGAGAGCCGAGACATGCGAAATGTCCCGCTCCTTGTCGTCGGTAATAAGCAGGACTTGATTGTGTCTTCCTCCGGTACTGGAGGAGCCTCCGGGGGAAATGGTGCCACGGGAGGTTCGGGGGCGTCTGGCTCGGGAGGACCAACAGCGGCAATTGCCGGAAGCAGCAGTGGCGGTGCCAGTGGCAGAGATGTGGATTACAGAGAGAAGAGACGTGATATAGTAAATTTGGTGAAAAAGCATTGGAAATGTACGTATGTGGAGTGTAGTGCTAAATACAACTGGCGAGTAGTCGCTGTCTTCAAGGAGTTGATGAAGGCAGTAGACTGTCTGGAGACTGGGCAGGCTAACAAGGAAGTATGCTCTCCCATAATGGACAATCTGCACGATGCGCTTGACAGGAATAAGTGTAGCATACTTTGAACTTCTCCGAGATCACAGTGTCTTGAAAACTGTTTATGCTGCATTAGAGAATGCACGGACCTGGCAATTTTAAGACCTAAACAGGGTCTCAGATCCAAATTCATCATGATAGTACTCACCAAAGTAATTGTTATTAGCTACAAACCTGATGAATCATGAAAATGTGGAAGGTTACATTCCACAACAAAGGGGATACAATGTATTTCTAATATGTAAATTATTTTATTTAAACATCCTTCAGACAATGAGTAATTCAATTAAAGAAGCTAAATTATCTTCCTGCAGTCTCGCATCCCCACATTGTTTTAATAGACGATTGTGGACTTCTTCTTTGTAATAGCGTCTAGAGTTGTAGATGGTTACCAGGGTTTCGGAGGAACTTTGGTAAAAAGAAACCTACAAGACGACACGGCGTCATAACCAAGACCACAATCTATATCTTCACCGCTGTGAGAACTTCAAACTCCAGATGTTTTCAGTGTTCTTTGACAGAGGACATGGGGCTGTTAACATTCACAATCTCCCTCCCTTCCTTTTATCTATTTTTCTTAGGACACGTCACTATCACCTTTGACTTCCTGTGCAATTTGTTACCGCGAACACTGCAGAGATAACTGCGTTCGTTATCAAATGGTTAATGAAATTACTTTTATTGATGTCAGGAAATATAGGAATAAAAATTAACCTCTGTTTCGTGCAACATGTTAATTTGTTTACAGCTTAGGAATGAAAACAATGGTTGTGTTTGCAATCACAAAAGTTAAAAATAGGATACATATTTGCGGTTATAATTAATTTTCAACTACTGTGTGTAATTTCAAGAAAGCAACAGCGTTTCAACTGAATTTTATTTTACTTTTATCTATCACATTAATGTGGATAATATATCTATGATCAAAAACTGATTAATATGTGAGGTGAGGATCTCCATTTCAATTACAAAATACTTGTGAAGTATCCCCTTCAGCCAGAAAGTATAAAATATACTGTCAAACAAATAACTCAATTACTGTGTATTAAATATATACTATTCAACTAACAATATTATCAAGGTAAGGAGTTAAAATTATGTTATAGTACGTAGTTTACCTTGGCATTAATCCTTAACAATATACAGATTGTTATATCCAGAGGTTTCTAAGTAAACTGCATTACAATGTTGTCGATTCTTAAGACAATCAAATAATGGTGTCTAATTAGAGAGTGTCACTGGATAAACTGAAAACACCCGAGCAATATATCGATAAAAGTTTAGGACTTTGTTGCTTTTATATAACCTATTACAAGTGTACAGTATTCATATCCACAATTAAATAATACATTTATTTGTTATGAATGTGAAATTTTAAGACATGGTCCACAACCATTTCTCTTCAGTTCCCGTGTGGCTTGGTTGGAAAGCAATAACATGCAATGTTTCATTTGTAACGTTACCATGCTATTATTTGAATGTATGTACAATAACTGCAATAAATAAAGTATAGATCGGCAGTTCTTTCTATTTTATATACAGTGACGTTATTATCACCTACTATAAACGTAACCATCATTAATCCGAGACCAACCAAATTGTCAGGTAAAAGATGTTCATAACTTAGCACCGAGTGTAGGATAATGTGTTGCTTGGTCAGGGCAATCACACACCTTATGGGATGGAGACTGGTAAGTATGGAGGACAAACGACAGAAGAAAACCCCGCAATGTAAAATCCAACATTATATAACAAATTAAATTTCTTCTGTAATGAACTTTAGTGTCCCATAAAAGGAAGGAAGCTGATCTTCTGACTCAAGGACGACTTGGTTTATCGAATGTTAAAACCAATAGTAAAGCAAGACAGTTATTTCGCAGCAAAGAAGAGGATTAAAATAGAAGGCGTATCAAGGGCACGACGAAACAAAGATTCTCATTTCTTAAGAGATCTGAATATTTTATTGTGTCGTCGCTCAAATTACATTTAAATATTTCAATCAGTTCTCGAATTCAAAGAAAAATGTGTCAAAATGTCCCTAAGATACAAACATAGTTCAGGTTAAAAATACTTTTTAATAATATTGTTCTCTCATGGTACATTAGCACGTGTGAAATTAGTAGCTGAGGCTTGTATAATAAAACTACGAGCAATACAGTGACCCCCACGAAATACTGCACTTTTATGACCATACTGTTGAGCCACCTGCATGGTAAAATTACGAATTCAGTGGTTCAACATTATTACTTAAGCCTACAGAATTCTTTCAGTACGCCGATATAATTTCGCGATTTGATCTGCCTGCTATAAACAAACTATGTAAATGGTCCTTAAACACATAGCCTGCATGGAGTATACAAACTGGAATAAGTGCTTCAGGAGCACATATAATAGCAGGTTTTGATAATAGAAGTTTTTGATTAAACATTGTTATCAAAAATTTCTTAGTTAAATTTTTAATCTATGAGTGCAAGAACAATAACATCAAACTATGATAACCAATAAGAAACACATAACTTTTTTGATTATTCAGGAGACAGTATGATAATACTGGAGATTAATCTTTGGGAGACATGTCGTGAAGATGGCAGCCAGATGAAACTGCCTTAGAATCATGTCCAGTAGCAAGCTTTGGTATTAGCATCATTTCACAAGAATTATATTTATATATAATCATAATATGAAGCTGAATATAACAAAATTAATTGTGATGACATTAAAATTGTAAAGGCAGAGTTCAGTATTATAGGATATACCTGCAAAGCTGGTAAACAGACAGGAAAAATACAGAAATGTTAAAATAGTCAATGTCTATTTCTATAAAACTACTAAAATGTTGAATTCAAATGAATTAATTCATCAGATCATTTATTACCTTGAATATTACGACATACATTCATCAGTGGACTTACAAATACGAATTCACATACAAACCTAACCTAACAAGTTCATCATTATTACAAATCACATTCACATGAACATAGGTTCACATCCAGTATGACAAATTTTAAATATGGAATATAAACAAGCATGTTTATATAAAGCACTTCACAGTGCAAGGCATGCAGGCTGCAAAATATATGTACCAACAACTCCAAATAAGTAAGATTTGAGGTTTTTACAGCGGTGAGAATGAATCGCCCTGATGATGGAGGTAGTATGATGTCTGAAATGTAAACATCAACCATACTACACAGTGCAACAACCCAGAAATCTTCAACTCCAAATAAACCCACATTATGAAAGAAGTTCATTTACAGCAACGAAATATTTCTGTTTCACCGTTGCTCAGACAAATAAAACAAGTACTTTGTGAATTTTTCCAGCAGCAAGCTGTGGAATTCTTGAAGTAAGGTATCCAGCACTTATCAACTCAGTAGGGCACACATCAGACCTTGGGCAGGATCTTATGTTTGGGCAAGCTCAATACATACATCGCGAACAACCTTGAACCCTTCCTCGATCATACATTTAACGAAAGTCTCATTCACAATTAGCTGATTCATCAATCAATCACTGATTATTTATCAAAAACATAACATGAAAAACAGTAACTTGTTTCCACGAGAATAATTAACATACCATTTGATATATGAACCTAAAAATCCCATTTTCCATTTAGGCTAGATATTAATTTCTAAATTTTGAGGTTAAAATTTAATAACTCACATTTGTGAAACTTAACTGGACATTAATGTAGCCTATAAATAAATTAATAAATCATGATAGTTATGATAAAGAAAGAAATTACCTTGCAATACGAAATATTTTAGAACGTCTTTCAAACACTTAACCTTCCGAAGCCACAGCTCATCTAAACAATATTTATGAATTCAGTCTGTACCTCAAAGAAAACACAAGATTCCATCATTGCAAAATCAACTGGCTGATGTCATTTAAAGAAATGATTGTTGTTTACACTGAAAAACTTATGAAACCCAGAAGCACAAATGTAGTTTTACTTACTGTTAAGGCAGATAGAAAATATGGTTACCCTTTGACTTTGAAGGGCTAAATAGTAATTCAGAGGATAACAGGAAGAATTGCAGACTTCAACAGTCTTCATATTACAAGATAACTTTCCATAAGTCATGCTTGAAAGGAGCAGTGAAAAGACATATTTAATATATTTGGTATTCACAAAGAATAAGCCAACACCGTCATGTCTTCTGTGGCTGGCTCTGACCATTAGTGTTGGCTGCAATTTGATTCGGGACTTGCTCTGCCTGACTCTGTAACAGCCGTGTCCTCCTCCTTGTGTAATGCTGCCATAACAAGATCTGCTGGTCATCTATGAACTTAGTACACTGTGCACTTACAACTTCACGTCTGAAATGTTCATACTGCAGCAAATCCAAGAAGTACAGACACATTGGATACCTGATAAAGTAATAATACTCATATTACATCGCTGTGTAATTACTTTAAACCTTTATTAAACTACAACATATAAACATTATTTTATTAATACATACTGAGCAATATATAACAACATGCAAACAAATGAACATTTAACAGTAATGGCTATGAGATGTAATCAGAGGGCACATGGTTAAATTCCATTTGAGGCACTAGCAAATAAAATGCCACCACACACACCACTATATACCTACTTCAAGTAACGTGCATATTCTGGTTCCTTCCAGTACAATAAATACTTCAGATAATTTATGAAAACTTGGTCCTTGAAATAACCTCGTTGTGCTAGAACTGAAATTACAAAATTAAATGTTAACATTTCATTAACAGAGCAGTGTTAGGAAACAATATATTTATCCAGACATTGTAAGAAAACAGGATTACAATTGAGATAGTTTGGATTGGCCAAACACTGAACAAATTCCAGTTCAACCTGAAACCGTAATTTCTGCTGATCTTCTGTTTCTGGTCCACCTGAAATATATCAGAAAACATCACTGTACATTCTGAATCAGTTGATACAAGAAAGTAAGTCAATATACATTCCAGTAAGTAATTTACAAGCAAATAGCCAACCCACTTCATAATTATATTAGACGAGGAAAAACTGTCCCAGTGGAAAATACTGAAGATATGTAGTGGATTGAACACAGAGCTCCAAGTATTTATCACGTCCACATTAGACTGAGAAGAATCTGACATCTGGCAGAAGTAGTATGAATTTTAGTAATAATTTGCTTGTATTATTAATCTTTCTGTGCTGTGCAATCTAAACTGACATGCAATTCTAAGCACCCAGTGGTAGAGGTTAGTTGGACACAAACATACTGATACAAACAAACGCAATTAAGAATATATAATGACATAGTTATGATGGGAGTATAAGCCGATTGTTACCCGATGATCAGTGCTCCTTACCAGAGTTCTGTACGGGATTATGAAAGAAATATTCAACATTGTATTTATAAGAGTCTTACCTTTCGCAGCCATCACTTCATGAATATGACAATTTTTTTCTCTTCTGTTTTCTACCAATTCTTCTGACCATTCGTGTTTCCTATTGCCTGCACCATATATCGCGTAACAAACCTCTGACCAGGGCTTCTTAGATGCGAACAATCGTAAATAAAATGTCACCGCTTATATTCCATTTTGGTTTCAGCAGATGCCACCACATTGCAATCGACATACCATCTGGTGACTACTTATGGAACTATTGTTTGTAATGCAGGTACTCTACAGAGGGCTCTGCCGTATGACAGTTGTTGTGCAGAACAAAAATTCGAATGTATTGAATATTCACGTTGTATATTAATTCACCCGCTTTATGAAATAAGTAGTATTAAAAGGGAATGGAGAAGGGATCAAAGGGATAGCTAACAAGGGATAACTTTGCACGGCGCAACAACCCAGAATACAGCAATCTTCAGACTCACCGCTAAGAAAATCTCAAATCTCTCAACTAACCACAAGTCTCTGCTGTAATGCGTTAAATTACTCCACATAAACTTTACCACTGTATACGTTCTTCAGTGTATTGATTTTTATACATCCTTTATCTTCCTTCGCAATAAACAGACATCGAGCGAAACCCCACTTCGGGCGAGACCTCTGTAGCCAACCAGCAGGATTGTTGTTTTTACAACCACTCCAAAATAACTGCAAAGTTGTAGTGAAAATTTTAACTTTCAGATCCTTAGTGCGCAGTTTCTTCTAGTCAGTCTCTCTTATTTAAGAACAATTATCTCAGCATTTCATTTCCAAGAATACTCAACTTCATCGGAAGGCATTTTTAAGAACGATGTCTGGACTTTATAATAATTTTTCATGAAAATTGAATTGATTTGAAGGGTTTTACGAAGACGAAACAGATGCGCTCCAGCATGGTAACTCTGATGTTTGAGCGGACACTGGACACCACCAACAACTGTGAAGAACGTAGATGAACGCTTCGATATTCCGTCAACTCCCTTCTGTCTTGGACCAGGAACATCATGAAAGTGGATTAAGTTTTGTCATGATTTGCTTTATCTTTCTTTAAATCAGTTCAGACGTAGAAATTCAGAGGCGCTGGATAAAAATGATCTTCGATCTCTTAATAACACACTGTCTTCTCTGCGACGAACTTCTCGTCCAAGTTAACTTTGTTATTGTTCTATTCCTACTAACATTTTGTAAGATTTCTCATTTTCCCCATTCGCGCTTCACACTCCGCACACCCAATCCTAATTTATTTGCCTACCCTAAGAATATTAAGCGAAGAGTACAAATTATAAATCTCCTTGTTGTAGAATTTTCTCCATCATCCTCATACTTCTGCATTCGGTCCAAATATTACTTTGATTATTCAATTCTCAGACATACTCAATCAGTATTTTTCGGCACTATAGTAACAGTCTGAATGCGACTGATAAGTGACTATCCTATGATTAGCCTATTGTATAACAAATTTTAGGAAAATGTTCCACTTACATTTAAGGGTGTGTAGTAAAACTCCATGTAATCTAATATTAGTTAATCCAGTTTAATTGTTTACGTCCTTATTAAAGTATCGTAATTTATATTTTTATGTTAAGTTTCAGTGTTTCACAGCGTGTTTGCAGCTTGCATGTCGGATTTTATGTGTCTGTAGGAGAAAAACAGACGATAATTGACACACTTGTAAGCTATAACACATGGTAGATAAACTATTCTCTGGATATGATAATATTAAAAGGTTTGCTTGTGACGTCGTTTCAAACTGATTGTACGGATGTGAGCATGTAATTCAATAAATTTGGATGTTTATAATAAAGGAGGAAAACCAGTCAGATTTTTTTAATATTACACATTCAGAAAAAACGTACATGAGATGTGTTTTCCGTCACTTGAATAGCACTGACTTGAAAAGGCCCTCTTTGTATTTACTCTACAGCTCTGGTAACAAGCAGCAATTATCTACATGCAGACTCTCGTGATGTGAATCGACATAAGAGAAATTCAACTGACAATCAGGTAACTAGCGTTTGTTTGTAGACATACGTACCTATACATGATAGTAATTTGAGCTATATTACAGCACCCATCATGCACTTACACACATTGTATGGTAAATGAATACGTTGAAGCATGAAAGTTTTTAAATTCTAACTTCCCACAACCCACAGCGAATCAATTTCTGTAACACAGGTTTTTGTATATGATTGTGGCATGACACCTACTAAACTAATTAAACCACTTTGAAATTAATTGGAGTACTTAATACGTTTGAAGGTCGCGCAACGATTATTTTGAAATTGTCTCAGAAAACGTGAGCTATACGAAGCCATTTAAAATTATGTAATGCACTTAGAACGAGAAACATATACACTCGCTAGCCTTGATCAAATAAATACTTGTAAAAATGTTTAATTATAAGCATTCTATGCATAAATTAATAAAATGTACTCATAGTGAGTTAAGACACTTCTCCTTTTATCCACGTTTATAAAGGCCTAAGCTGAAACACATGGAGAAAAATTCCAAATTTGATAATAAGAGGGGACAAGCTTCAGATATCAGACCCGAGGCAACACCAGAAATCTCCAAAAATAAATCAGATGACAACAGAGTACATGTTTCCGAGATCAAACCCGAGTTAACATTTAAAGTGTCCGAAAACAAACCAGATTATAACAACCTACAACCTTCTGAGAACAAAACTGGTGTTCTTCCAAAATACTTCGAAAACAAATCGAAAGACAAGAAGCCACAACGAACTTCTGGGTTAAAAATGAGTTAATTTTCAACGTTACAGGAAACAGAGCTGATGACGCAAAGGAGCACGCTTCTCAGATAAAACATGAAGTACCAGCCACTGACTCACGAAAAACAGACACAAACGTAAGTTCTCGTGACCTGCTAAACCTCCTATACATTCCGCCAGTAAAGTAGCGGAGAAAAATGTGTCACAAGGCACATATGCACCAGGGACTACACAAATATCGAGCAATCCTGTGATGTATTCAAACACTTCACAACATCTAACTAAACACTTTGTGAAACCGGAGATTCGTAATTCAACGGACAAAAAAAAATTGGTAAGTGCTCAACTGACTGCAAATCAATCAAAGAATGTTACAGGATAAGAAACGACATCCTTTGCTCAAACTGCCACAAAATCTGTGGAGAAGAATGTCATGAACAGTGATCTTGAAAAACTAGCCACGTCGAAATCCACCACTTCAGAAAGAGGGGCATTCTACATGGCCGTGTTTGAAGCGACAACCACACACGTATCTGAATACACTTCTCCTACGAAAGATCCACGGAGTTATGAAAAAAATACTGTAGTATTTGCGGTGAAACGCGAAAACAAATCATCAAACCAGTCAGAAAAGTACTCCCATGATAGGCCCCTATCTCCCGATAAATTATATTTTTTATTTAAAACTGTGATATTTCATTCCCATTTCTTCATTTAACTGACAGAGTATAGAGCAGAGAAATCAATAAACCACATTCTTACTATACTAAAGTTTTACATGTCAAATTATGTGCCGCTATACTTCACCACTATTATGAGGATTTAATCTGATACCGAGAACCGAGAAGTTTATTTTATGTGTAAAATTGAAATTATATGTATGCATGTTCTTTCATATCCCAAGAAGGGGTAAACCATTCTTTATCAAACATTAAATTCTTGTGTTTTGAAAGCAAGAAAACATTTCTGAAAGGTTAAAACTCCGAAAAGCGTAATGCGTTCGTGTCCTAATAAAAATTGTTTCTGTAGCTCGGAATCAAAAAACGATAGGATGAAAGCGCCGAGATAATGTTTTTTTTACTTTAGCAAGGATATTACAGAAAGAAAAGGCCATAATCCCTAAAATCTGTCCCCCCCCCCAGATGATAAGTAAATATGGAGCGGAGTCGGAATGATATTGACAAGGGTAAGCCGAAGGACACAGAAAAGAACTTGTCCCAGTACCACTCTGTCCACCACAAATCCCACAAGGACTGAGTTGATCGCGAATACGGGCCTTCGCGGTGAGTTGCCTGCCACTAACCGCCTGAGCTACAGCCTGACCAAATGTTGTTCTATTACGTATACTCCAATTAGATTTTTGTGAAGTTCGAGGGCAAATGTAAACGTCACGTGACTTTTATATAAGAGTAATAACTATTGATTTATTACAAAACAAGAAAAATTAGTATATCCGTCAATAATAAGCATCACGGAGCGGAACAATAAAACATGTTGTAACGCATCACTGACTAAGAGGGTAGCGATTATCAGTTGTTTCAGTTGTTCATGTAATGGCAACTGAACGACGTGAAATATAGGCATAGTACGAGTACTTATGTTTTATGTCCGACTGTGCTGTTGTACAATATTAAACACATATGAGATGAGCAGAACATACAGCAGGCAAATATGGAACTGTAATATCAAGATGGAAGATAGTTCTTTACTCTGCATCTCAGATACATCTGTTCTTTCTGTGGTATTCTTCGTATTAAAGTGGTGCACTGACTGAGATTTTTCGTGATTTTCTTCAGTTCCTCCAAGAAATTTCGAAGACAGTACTTTGAATTAGGCCACGACCGCCTCCTTCCACACCAGCTCCAATTCATTACTCACTCTCATTCGACGCTATATAGTCTAAGCTACTGAAAAAACATCGTTAAATAAACTATAGATAAAACAGATACGATGGGAATGTGCTAAGTGGATTTATCTGGATAGATGTTAGGAACCAGTGACTGGCTCTTGTGATCAAGGCAATGAACCTTTGAGTTCTATAAAACGCGAGTGATATTCTTCCTGGCTGAGCGAATATAACGCACTCATGTCGTGCGGCGAAAGGAGAAAGTTGCCATAAACTAACAAAAGCAGTTGTTCGATGACAGATGTCTGTACGAATTTAAAACATGTGAAGTGACTGTAAATATGTTCGTGGAATTGTGTATTGTCTTTATGATACAGACGAGAAACATTAACTTCATATGAAGACAGAAATCTTCATACTCACCGCTGTGAGAACCTCAAGTCTTACATTAACTTCATATACTGGGTAAGACAAACGTGAGGAATGCCTTCGTTCTGAAGTTGTTCGTGAATTGCACCCCACTCAAAAACCTCTGTTGTCACATTCGGTCCCGTTGTTCTTCACTTATAACAAGAGATGCAGACACACAATGAAACTGGCGTCCACCTGATTTCCTAAGATCATGGCACCATTTGCAGCG